TTTGGTAGTCCAGTTACACGGATAGAGCCCTAATCAATGTTATAGCCCACAGTTTCAGTCTAAGGAAATAAGGAGAATATAAGGTTGGTTGATCATTGCCTGAGTAAATATATGATGTGTCACATGTGCTAAGTGGTGGCAAGTTGTAAGAGTATGGGTCTTGTCACATATATGAGAATATGGTGGCAATGCACCTAGTTATGTGAGTAAAGTTATAAAGTGATAAATGATAAAATGTGATATATGGGGACATGTTTTATAAATTTGATCTTCTTGTGCGTGTGTTTTATAATTAATATATAACTGTATAGGGTAGGTTTAACTTTGGTTACTGAGTTGCTAGACTCATCCCTCTTATTTGATACTTTTCAGGCTCTAGCTCTAGTGTTGAGAGAGAGAAGACTAAAGAGGCGGGGAATTAGCATATTCCTATAGTATGCCTCTAGTTTAGCTTTAATTGTGTAATAATATGTGGCTTGCCAATTCTAGGATGCATATTACCTCACTTGCACTATTTTAGTTGTTGAAAATGTTAGAATTATATTTTGGGCCCTTAGCCTGTGTGTATTTTTGTTATATATATATATGTGTTTATAGGGCCAAAATACTAGTGCAAGTGTAAAAATGAAGTTTTGAGAATGTTTTGAATGATTTGAGTTAAATGCAATGCTAATTTACCTCCCCATTTGTTTTTGGTAAATTGGGATTGAGGAGTGAATTTTATACTGATGTTTCGATGCTTGTGATGTATTATACTAGTAGTCTTAGGTTCATTGGACATGGTTTAGGTGTTAGGAAAAGCTTTTGGCACTTGTTGAAGGTTTTGGACACCCATTTTGTGTAAAAGTGTTAAAAAATGGTTAAAATGTGTTTAGATGTCCAACTTCCTAGTGTGACTTGTCTTAGAAGTAAAACCCATGCCAATAGTTAGTACGGGAAAAGAGCTTTCCATAGACACCTAGATCACATCATTAAGGATATGGGACAGAGAATCGGGGCGAGTAAAAAAGCTCCCCCGATTCTGCCGTCAAATGACAGTAGAACCAATGGAATTTTATGTAATACGTCATGGCGCATGGCACCTAAGCCGCGGTGCGTGGCATAGAGAGTAACACGCTGCGGTGTAGAGTACATCCGCCGCGGCACGTTGCTCTGTATTTCAGTACATAATTTATTTTCAACTGTTTTCGACTTCTTTCACTCCTTTGAGGTATCCCATGCTTTCAAAACTTATTTTTACTTTGATATGAAAGATTTTGATCGATTTTAACTTGTTTCCACTTAGAAAACTTGGGATCCCCTACTGTTAGATTAAAACTTGGTAATCACTTTTTGAGCTAATTCTTTAATTACCATGAGTTTCTTTTATTAATTGTGTTTAGTGGAGTAAGAACGTTATAGAGGGAGAGGGGAAGGTATAGGAAGCTCACCCAATGGTGATTCTTACTCAAAATGCTCTTGAAATGCTTCCAAGGTGAAGCCCTAGTAGGGCCAAGTCGAGCTTCCACCAACCTCTCTTTTTCCTTCTTCTTTTGTTTTGTCATTGTGCGCTCAATTTAACAAAATTCGAGTCCATCCATCGCAGCACATGGTGCATTTATTGGGTGAATGGCATAAAGAAACTCACCAATTTGGGTTTCTCTCTTTATGCCATGGTTTGCTCGAATTTTGATTTAGTCATCTTTCATGACTATCCAGCTATCAAAAATCATATTAGTCATTTAAAAATATTATTAATTCATAAATTTCTTAATTTAATCAATTTACCCTTTTTAAAAAACTTAAAATTTCAAAATTTAAAATCTAAAATATTATAATAAATTTAATTTCATTTTGACTCTCAACTTAATTTCGATTGAATTCTTAACTCATAACTTTTAATTTTAATTAGTTTAATGAATGATTTGATTTTCAGTGCGTTTAATTTTTTTTGAAATACGTAAGGAAAGTTTTGGAAACCCGCCTCCCACGGATTTCAGTAGAGCCTACCCAATGTAAAATTGCTGATGTCATTGCTCACATCACCTCGATCACTACACGACTATGCGTCCTGGGGCAAGGTAGCTCGAATGTAATAATATTTTCCTAAAATTTTTAAAAATGTACAATATAATAACTCTTATAATTGATAAAAATTAATTTTTATCATTCATTAATTAAAAAATAATAAAAAATATCAAGCAAATTAAAAAATAAGAAAATTTTCTTAGTTTTTTTAATACTTTTTGAATTTTTTTGATTAATTAATAATTAAAATTATCTTTTTTAATAATGTGAGTTAAATTATATCATTTTCAATTTATTACTACATGACACAGTTATCTTGGCATGATTTTTGCGCTCCAAAATTTAGAATGCCTTTTTTGGTTTCAAAGCTGCGTGTGTGATTTGTAGGAATTCATCGAGTGTAATGACAATTCCAGTCATTATTGCCTTTTTTTTTTAATCAACCATTGTTTCTTCCATTTTAATTGGAGTAATCATATTTTTAAATGAAAATGACAGATAAATTTTAAGAAGATTAATTAATTTAAATTAAGTTTTAATTAATTTTAAAGTGTCAAACTTTAAGAATTTGTAAGTTTAACTCTCAATTTTATAATTTTATTATGATAAATTTATAATTTATTTTTTAAATTTTAATAGGTTAAAGAATAAATAAATTTATTTTTTAATTAAAATTTAAAAAATAAATTATAAATTTATCATAATAAAATTTAAAACTGATAACCAAATTTATAAATTTTTACAGTTTGATATTTTAAAATTAATTGATTCCCTCACAACCTATTTGTCTGCCTATTTTTAATTGTAATATCATCTCTCCGATATGCAATTCATGAATGTTCTTCTGGCCTTTTTTTTAATGAAAATTATAGGAAAATGATAAGAGCTGTGGGGATAGTACCTAGGACCCAGTGATGAAACAACATACAACCTAGGGCTGTACAAAAGATTGGACGGAATTGGACTTTAGCCTAACCCGAAGTCTGGTCCTTTTCATGAAAAGGACTGGGTTAGGTAACCCGTAGTCCGGTCTGGTCCTGTGAAAACCCGGAGATTAACAAGACTGGACTTGGTCCATAGGACTGAGAGACTGGTCCTGTTAGTCCAATACTTACTTGGCCTTTTTTTTCTTTTTTTTCTCTATGATGACCAATTATCTATTTCAACTTAATAAACTCAATTAAGATAATAAAAACACTTATAATCATAATAAATTCATAATAATTTTTAAAACCAAGAAAATAATATTTTAGTTACAGTCCAAACTCCAAATGATTTAAATACATAACTTCAATAAAAAAATCAAAAGAAAGACCGAAAATAGACTAGAGGAAAAAAATCAGCAAGAACAGAAGTAATAAAAATCAGCCCACAGCCATGTTCCTTCAAAGTTTGAACATATCAAGATCAGAGTGCAGAGTGCAAAGTGCAAGGCAGGGGCTAGGGCTTTGGCGCACTGAAGAAATTGAGAATGAGAGCAAAGTTGAGTGAGTGGCTGAGACGCTAAGTGCTATTGAGTAACAGTGTTGAGGTTTTTTTTTCTGATCAGAGTGTAAAGTGCAAGGCAGGATTAAGACTTTTTTTTCTAAGGCTTATTAATTAATAATCTATAAATTAATTTTAATTATATTAAAATAATTATATAGGACCAAACCGAACCACTTAGTCCAGATGCTTGGTCTCTAGTCTGGTCTTACCCGAAAAATCAGTCCTGTCTTTTTGGTCTTTTTGGTCCTATAGGACCAGCATTTTACAGGACTGGACAGGACCGGATTTTCATGGGTCGGACCGGACCGAACGAGACCACGAGACTTTTGCACAGCCCTAATACAGCCAGTCAAATTCGAAAACGACTTGGATAAATGAAAATAAAGAAAAATATTCTCCAATAAACCATTAATGAGAAACATTCTTTTAGTCATTTCAAATTCAATATTTTTTTAACTTAATATTATAAACTTTGAATTTTAAATTATATACTTCTGGTCAAAAAAAAATTAAAATTATATACAAGGTTCATTTCACTAACAAAAGCTTATTAAATAAAATTCAACAAAATGAAGTTAGCTACTCCCTCTATGCAGTTTTCTTTGAAAGGTTGGATGTATAAAAATATAAAATATTATTATTTTTTTAATATATAATTAATAAATTTTATCTAAAAATAATTACTCATAATAAATAAATCACTAAACCCTTCACCTTAAAATAAGATATCTCATGATAAAGATAAATTTAAAAAGATAGTATTAATTTAAAAATAATCAATTAGTTTATTGAAAAATGTAATTTCATTAAAATTAAAAATACTTTACATTTTAACTAAAGTGTATCTTTAGTATTTTTAACTTTATATGGGATTTTATTTTAATTTTTTTAATTTTTAAAGTGTATTTTCAATTCTTAAACTCTAACACAATTAATTTTATCATAAAAAATTTATACTAAGTTTTTAAATATTAATATATTAATTTTAATTTTTTAAAATAATAATAATTGACATAAAAAATTAAATTTTTTTTAAATATTAATATGTTAAGATTATTTTTTTAAAATAATAATAATTGATAAAAAATAATTATTTAAAATTGATAATATTAAAATTATTAAACTAAAAAATATTTTATAAAATTAAGTCATCAAATTGGGTAGAGTTAGATGAAATAGGACTAAGCTTGCTAGCCCAAAAATAAATGAGAACTATATATAAAACAAATTAATATTTTTAGGAAGAATTATTAGCGGGGTAGGAGCTATATGGGGTGGATAACGCTGACACGAAGCTGTGAACAAATGGACGTGAAAGTGAACAATGACACGAGTACACGTGTCGAATTCTAGAAGAAGATATACATCGGACGGTTGTGATCAGGCGAGCGAAAAAGGCTTTCCCCCACCATCAAGAACAGTCCAAATATAAAATTTCTACAATCTGTTCTCTTTCGGAGACTACAGAACAGATAAACGGAGTAAGAAAGAGAGCACTAAATATGGCGTTGGCTGTGCCTGCCCTTCCCTTCACGTTCGTCGTTCACTTTCTCGGTATCGCTCTTATTGTTTTGGTCTTGGTTTGGAACTTACACTTCAGAGGTGGCTTGGCTTGGGAATCCTCTAACAAGAGTCTCATCTTCAACGTATTGTTCTCTTAGACTTCTTGCTTGCTTTATTTTCTACTCTATTCACTGATTCTTCTTCTTCTTTCGAATTCAATCGATTTTATTTGGTTATGGAGCTTCGGATTCTCACTGATACGCTTATGCGTGAGAATTCTCGAGGATTGTGATTACTTTATTTACAGTTCAATTAAGAGTGTAGTGTGCATTCTTCTTGTTCTTGTTCTTCTTATTCGGCGTTGTTTCTCTCTTCTTGCTAAAATCGCCAACGATTTTGCCATTTTTGGGGTCATTTCAGAAATTCTACGACACTATAGATAGTCGTTTTGCGGACTGGAGTGAAACGACTTGGAGCAATGAAGCTCAATTTGAGTGGGCATCAGTTTTCAGTTTACGGCACAGTCACATTTGAATTCATTTCGTTTTGTCAATCCGAATGCCAGTCATTTCATTTTTTACGTCTTGTCAAGCCAAAAGTTATTAAATTATTGGTGCAGCTGTTGGTGAGTTTCTTACTATTTTATTGTTAAGTAATTCCTGGACCCTGTATTTGACGCCGCACGTTAAACTTTATTACCCACTTTTTCTAAATTAATGATTATGATGGGGGCCGCTGATATGCCTGTTCGCATTTTTTAAATCAAATCTCGCATCTCTCATTTTTATTTTTACTCTTATTTAATATATTATTATTTTTTAAAATAAATATAAAATAATTTATTTAATAAAAATATTTTTTAAAACAAATAATGATTACATTTTACATGGATAAAAATATTTTATATTATTAAATATTTAATTTTTTAAAAAATATTTTATATTTTTTAATAGAAGGAGGGATTCTAACTTTTTCATTGTTTTTGTCAAAAAGATGTAAATGAATATGAGAAAGAGAAAACTATAGCTGGACTAAAAACTCCTTCATCGCCTGGAATGGAGTTTATTTTACATTTGAGATTCATTTTGGTGAAATGCCGTATTCTTACAATACCTTTTGAGATTTGAACACGGATAGAGAAGGGTAAAAACTAAGGTAGGGTAATATTTAATACATGAATTCAACTTATGTCATTAACCCACATTTCCTTTTTCCAGTTGACATTTTTCATGTGCTTTAAAAAAATTGTTTTATTATTTATTTGTAATTCTAACTTTTTAATTATATTCTTATTAATTAAAGAAAGATGATAAGTTACCTTATTATTTATAAAAATATTCTTTTTTTTAATTAAAGGACGAAATAAACGTTATTTTATTTTTTTGTTTGATATTTTATTATTTGGATTTCTTTTTATTATTGTTGTAGTGTCCTTAGTCAAGTTAATCCTTACCGTCATTTCGCTTCTGGGGTCTACTCATGATGATTGCCTTAAAGATTTTATCTTTCAAGTGAAATAGGTATTTTACTAGTTCCCTATATGAAAGGTTAAACAGAAAACTGGGTTGTGTTTATCCAATGACGGGGTTTTAAATTTTCTAATGTGCTTGTTGATGAGTGCGCACATACTTAATGAGCTTATTTGTTTCTTGATTTGTTAGAAAATGACTTTCACGTGTAGTTCCTCCATGTGGTACCAATCCAAGCGACAATCGTGGATAAATAATATCCTTTTATGACTTTTCTTTTCTTTTCTTTTTCTCTTTTTATAGTTCCCCCCCCCCCTCTGATTGATCGCTGGTGCTATATTATATCAGTAACTTTGAATGATAAGAGTGTATGACATTGAAGACCCTGAGTTTTATCAATTTCTCAATCTTGATTACGTCAGTTTAGAATTTTGCTGTTGTTCACATCTACAAAGTTTGGCATTCAATTTTGTCTATTGCTTTCTTCTAGGAAAAGAATTTTAAAATCAGTCAGTGGTGGATTAAAAAAAAAAAAGTGTAATTTTATATATCAAATGCGTTCAGATCTGAGCAACCATGATGTATGACCTTTCCAACGCAAATGGAGTCGATCAAAATTTAAAATTAATTAGTCAAGATTATGTGCATGATTAGTCTAATGTGCCTCTTTTACTTTATATTAATTAATGCGGTAGTGATCTATTATTAAAACCAGCACCACCACGCTTTTAGTTCTGTGCTTTTAGTGTGAATCTCATGATGTATCTTTTCCCTTGATACAGATCCATCCAGTTCTTATGATAATTGGTTTAATTGTTATCGGTGGTGAAGGTACTTATTATGAAAACACTTATTCACGTTATTAAAATTTCTACTCTGAGACGTAATGACTTGTTATTTTCCCCTTCCCTTCAATGTTCTCACGTTTAAAATTGAAAAATAACAATTGCAGCTATTATAAGTTACAAATCTCTTGCATTGAAGAAAGAGTTGAAGAAGCTGATACATCTTGTTCTGCACGCCATTGCAATAGCACTTGGAATCATTGGAATCTATTGCGCCTTCAAGTACCATAATGAAAGTGGGATTGCCAATCTGTACAGCTTGCATTCCTGGCTTGGAATTGTTGTCATTTCCCTTTACTGCATTCAGGTAAACAATCTGTCATCAAAACAGTATTCCATCAAAGACCTTTCAATGTTATGGAATTTAAGAAGCACCTTCACGGATACAGATTAGTTATGAATATAATAGATGCATTACAACTTATCTAAACGACATAGGAGCAGCTTTTATTTGCTATTGCAACTCTGATTTTTAGTATGGCAACTGTCATGAATACAAGTTTAAAAGGAGAGCACATTCCAAAAGCTAGTCAGTTGGGTGAGAGAGCCTTTTTCAGATGGAATTGAGTTCTCCATTCCATAACTTCTCTTTAAATGTTATAACCCTCCTTCAATTCCCTAACCTCCTCCATAATGTCCATGTAACCCTAGTTTAATTGCATTGTCTACCTAAGTTTAGTATACATAGAAGTACTCTCTTGTATGGAGGACACATCATCAAGTAATAAGAAAATATATTTTATCAAATTGAGAGAGTTCTCTCCTTTTCCCCTTGGCTCCTGAGCTGCCCTTATATTCATAAACCTCGGCTCCATATATTTTTCACCTATCCTATTCTCCACCCATCTTGTGTGGTTCACGGGGATTCATGACAGTAACACGGTACTAGAGAAAAATATAGACATAGAGGACTTGTGGCCCCTTATTGACATGTAGGTTTCACCTATCTTATGTGTCTATTTCTCTCTTTGCCCCTCTGTGCAGTTGCAATAGAGAAACCGAACAAATATGCTATTATGTCCTTATATGCATTGGATGCTCCTATCCTATACCCCACACATAAATGCATTTTAGTGTACATTTTATCGATAAGTAATAATGTGCTGTGTAGTGGCTATATGGGTTATTGATAAGTAATAACGTGCTGTGTCTATTTCTCTCTTTGCCCCTCTATGCAGTTGCAATAGAGAAACAGAACAAATATGCTATGTCCTTATATGCATTGGATGCTCCTACCCTGTACCCCACAAATAAATGCATTTTAGTGTACATTTTATTGATGAGTAATAATGTGCTGTGTAGTGGCTATATGGGTTTTTGACATTCTTCTTCCCTGGAGGGAGTGCATTTCTGAGACAAGAGTCACTTCCTTGGCATGTGTTATTTGGGCTAATTGTATATGTGTTGGCTGTGGGCACTGCTACACTTGGGTTTCTGGAGAAACTCACTTTCCTTGAGAATTCTGGATTGGCAAAATATGGTGCTGAGGCATTGCTTGTGAACTTCACTGCTGTGATCACTGTCTTGTTTGGTGCTTTTGTTGTATTAACTGTGATTTCTCAGGGCTCTACCTCTGAAGATGATTATACAGCCATTTAGACTCGTGTCCATGTATATCTTCAGATCAATTTCTTGTTTGTAATTCTGGTACCGAGTATGAGGTTAACAGCTATGTACTGTACGCGTGTAGAGTCGGACATGGAACTTATGTTCATTTGCGAATAATATCCGTTAAGCATGTACTTTTAATCTGTTAATGAAAACTGCATATCATAGATCTCTGGCCATTAGTTTATTTTTTTCCCCCCTCTTCGGTGGCAGATGCATTCGGACTTGATATTTTAAAATTTGTTAAATTTTTTACCCCAAGTATAGCATCAGGTTGTCTATTTTGGCAGATGTTTGTATGTCAAAGCCAATTTGTCAATAGCATGTCAAAAATTTATTTATGGTTGAATACAATTTTTTTTTTTCCAAACTGACATTTAAAAGTAATGAGATAAATGGTAAATTTGCTTTTCAAGTTTTCTATCAGTTGTTGACTGGTGCAACATGTATTTGAAAAGTTTTAAAAATGGTGCAATATTTTCTTATAGTAACGTTTGATTAATATTGACAGTTGTTTGAACAATTCTGACTAAAGTTTAGGAATAATTCTGTCTTGCAAGTTCTTTTTGAAGGAATAAGTGATATCTTAAACTTTCAATTGTTGTAATATTTTTGAATTATCAATGTTTGAATTTTAAAAAAGGTTAAAGCATAAATTTACCTTTAAAGTTTTCACACAAGCTAAAGCATCCAGTATGTTCAAGTTTTTTTTTTTTTTTTTTTTGGGTGTAATTTTGCTACAGCATTTTTCAACGCGATTCAGTTTCACCCTGCCATTTGGTTTGACCATCATATTCATCATTAGTTTGGCCATTAGTTTCAATTTAGCATCCCATAAAAAATAAAAAAATAAAAAAAGATCTGCCTCCTTGGTTTCCTCGTATCCTCTTTTCTCTCCTCTTCTGCGATCAAACCAGTCCCTGCCCCCTTTGCTGTCTTAGAGCACAAATTCATCATTCTCATCCATTGAGTACAAATTGATAGAAACCGAAAATGACGTCAGGGAAAATCGCTGAGCGCATATCAAAGACCAATTGGCACGTAACAATAAACTTAGATCCATGTCAAACTCTTGATAGCATAAATCAATAGATATCAAAAACCACATCCAAAGAAATCCACAAACCAATATAAACAATATATAATCAACCAAAAAAAAGATGAATCGGATAAGATGAACTTAGATATGGAGAGATCAAAGTATGTAAAGCCAGGTCAGAGGGAAGGAAGAAGAAGACGGCGAGTGCCCATATATTGAGGCAAGCCCATATTATAGGGAAGCCTGACCATTTTCCAAGTTCAAAGCCAGAAGTGGCCATGGAGATGAGTGACCAAGACCAGACGAAATGAGTACCATCAGTCGATGTCAGAGAGTGGAAAATGGGAAAAACTGGTCGAGATTAACACCTACTATAACATCCTGAAAATTAAACCCTTAATAATCAAACTAATTAGGAAATCCCCTAATCTCAGCCTAGTCCTTTCCCTCTATTACTCCCAACATCAGGTCCTGTGAAAAATGGTAACCATAGGTGAGATAAGAATCTCAATAACTAAGATAATTTATCAAATGACTATTAATAAAATTAACTTTAAATAAGAAATAAAAATCATTTATTATGTTTTCACAATTAATAAACTCATATACATATACATAAAGACATTGATAATATTTTCCACAAAATCAATAACACTTGCATGATCGTGTATCCATCAAACCTCCAAGCTTGTTGACTGAACCTACAGGCTTTATTGTACCAATCACAAAAACATTAATCAAAGCACACTTTCAGTGGTAGAAACATCTGACTAAAGATATTTTATCCTACTTTCAGACTATGGTTTCCCCTTTCACACATACAATAGAGGTGTTGTTAACTCTCAACTGCACCCTCACGGGTACTAAAGAGTTGCTAGAATGCCCGGATGTTTTATGGTGCCAGCCTAAACATATAAATTTATTTACACATATCTTCACACACAAGGTGAACTCTATAATCATGCCACTATTTACACACATATAATCACCTTTACACATTTCCTCAGTTTTATATATATATATATATATATATATATATGTATGTATGTATGTATAATGAATTTCCTTTTTAAACCACATGTACATACTTTAATAATCATACCAAATCTATTTGAATGGTAAAACATGCGAGTTGCAAAGCATATCAAATATAAAATCATCAATTGTATTACCACATTTACTTATAAAAAGTTAGACAAATTAACAGACATAATGAATTATGCAATTATCTCAACCCTTCTATATTTAGAAAAGGTTGCCCATGGCACTACATTCTTTCTCGAATTCCATTCTCACTAAACAACACAAAAACTACACCAATCTACATAAATTAACACTATAAGTCAATTATTGAATTGATTAAAAGTACTAATTGTCACAATTAAGCATCCAAGTACTTTCATTTACCCATCTTAGATGCTTATTATCCTATTGAAACATCTTACCACTTCTATTTGCCCTAACATACTTCTTACTAAATTTTACCCATTTTATCCTATTAAATCAGGCCGAATTAAGATTATAGCTCCAAAGCTTAGCCATTTACTCACAGTCATAAAACCTTAATTTAAATCCAAAGAGTCTTTTATTACAAAAAGGTAAGAAAACAACCTCTTAAAACTTTTCAATTTAATTTTTTTATAACCCAAACTAAGAGAAATTAGTGTAAAATCAGAGCTTAAGGCGGTACAAAACTTACCTAATAAACGACAAGTCGGAAATATCTCTTGATGTTCTAAGCTTCCCTGCTCTAGTATAGCATACACTCCTCCTCTCCATAGTACTTCTTTCCTTTGTTTTCCTTTTGACCAACGAGCTAATTCACACACTTTAAAGTCAAATTTTTATACCATGCACCATGGTGCATAAAGCATACACCACAGCATGTGGCATAGTGAAGAAAATTCTACCGTTCTCACATGCTTCATTTTGAATGTCGTTCTTTCACTTGATCTTGTCCATTTAACAACCTAAAGAGTTAAAAATTCAAATTTCCATCCAAAATCCTAATTATCTAATTACTTTATTAAATTATTAATTTATCCTTTAATTAGTAATTAGCTTCTCAAATTAAAATTTTAGGATGTTATAGATGTGGGCACATGTATCACTTCTAGCCTAGGTACTAAGTTAGACATTATATCATAATCCAACCCAAAATCAAAAGATTGTTCAATTCTTCTTCTTATTTGAATGTTGATAACTTAAAAATATTACGCAATTGAAAATTTAGTATACTAATTACTTTTTTAGACAAATTTACGAGACAAAATTGTACTTTTAACTTTTAGAATTATTCAACTAACATTCATTGGTCAAATGTTATTATTAGACAGTATTAAACTAATTTTTAAACTTCTAAGGAGATATTGTGCCAATTGAAATTTAAAGATAATAATTACATACAATAAAAAACTTTCAGAACAAATTTTCCATTTAACCTAAAGTAGAAAAGCTACTTCAAGTTGCGTTTGCAAAATGGACTTTCAGTTGGATATCAAATGAACTTTTATACCAAGAGAATAAATACCCAAAAAATAGATGACATGCCAAAAGGACTTTTTGAATGTAAAAAGATTTTTTTTTAAAAATATGAAATGGGACAAAGCCCAAACTATTATTTAACTATAATAACTAGGGTCATTAGGACCCTACAATCTCGATGCATCCACTCAAGAAGACCTTGAGGAGGCTCAGTAAGAATACTACATTTAAAACTTTGAAATAAGTGAGACTTCATGATTTAATCAGCACAAACTGGTTACTTTCATAATACACATGCCTTACTATTACTTGCCAATCCTCATTGATTAAATTAATAGCATGACAAAATTGCTACTTTTGAGAATATTTGTTATCTAGAGCCATATGAAATTCCTGAAGGATAGTGATGGAGTCAATTTTTGCTATTAGGTTAGAGATGTTGAGCCACCTGTGAGCCATGATAGAAGCTCTAAAACTTTGCTTCTTTTGCTATATAAGAACCCAAAATGCAAACAAAGCCTCCCATCCACTTCCCTTCTGAGTTGCAAAAATTACCACCACAACTAGCTGTACTTGGGTTTCCTCTCGCAGCACCATCTATATTGAGTTTTATCCAACCATTTAGTAGTGGTTCCCAAGTAATTGAGTAGGTCTTTAAGCAATTGTTGTTTGCACATCGTGCTTTGTACTAGATTGTACAAATCTTGTAAAAGAATTGCAAATTCTTTCTATGAGTCCAATAGTAGATATAATATCCTTGTTAAAGATCCTCTCATTCTTGACTTTCCATAGCTACCATATCGTGATGGAAAAAAGAATATTCAAAGCAATACCATTGTGAAATATACCATTTTGTAAAATAAGGATTTTGTGCATTTGGAAATTATATTTAAAATAATGAATTTATGAAAGTTTCTTATATAAGTAAACTATGGTTTGATACATGTAATAATTATGAAAAGTGTGAGCATGATTATGATAGGGTAGGAGTTCACTTGTAGGAAGGAGTAGTGGAAGTTCATATGGCATTTATCTTCTTAGTACTTAGTAAGGTATGGTGTTAAAGATTATCTCTTTAGTGCTCATGTGGGGTATGGCATTGAAGATTTATGCTCCTTAGCATTATTATAAAGCGGTGTTGTAATAATGATTCCTCGAATCACGTGTGATAGGGGGAAGCTATAGTCTGGAGTGAGATAGGACACCTTTGATTGGGTGATCCTACCATTGAGGGTGTCCTCAGGCTAATATGTATGTGCATTGGTCTAATAAAGCCTTTGGTTTCAATCAAGGCGATATGGAGGCTTGGATGATAGAATGATCATGCTAGAGTATGAAAAAGACGTGTGAATATGAAATGTTAAATTTGAATATGCTAAATGATATCTTTGCGTATATATAGCTTTACTCATTTATAATTGTGCAAGTTAATTGATAATTGTGAATCATTCTATTATTGATATGTTTATCTCATTCTGTGGTTACATTTTATAAATGAAGGCTCTCGTAGGAGCAAAGGGAAGGAAGGAATTGTTGAGAATTAAAGAGTTTTAGTTTGTATAGCTCTTCCCCTTTGTTATTTTGGTCTTGTAACAAATAGCCTATGAATTCTATGCCAACTTAGGATTTCATGCATCTTTTGAG